CATTTACTCTGACGATGGCTTCTCGTGTGGAGCCGAAAGCTCAGAATAAAAAGATCGTTCCAGAGATCGCGTCTTCGTCTTCTTTAAAAATAATACTTTGGCTTCGATTAGAGTTTAGCAGCTGGATACATTACCTTCAGAGTTTCTATCAGACTCCATTAATTTGTGAATTTGCCTCCTTCCAATGCGTTCCAGATTGAGGTACGCCCATATACGCAGCTCCGAGGAATGGGTAGTGCTGGGTCCTCACGTGCCTAATATGACTGTTCTTAATTAGAAAGTAGTTATATCCTTCACATAACCATTGCACGAGTGCAAATGACTAACTTTACCACCACCACCTTAAAATGCAACACAAAAATATATACCATGCCTTTCTTTTAGGTGGAAACCATTGGAGACGCCTACATGGTGGCCTCTGGTCTGCCCATACGAAATGGTAGTCGCCACGCCGGAGAAATAGCCCTGATGTCTTTGGAATTGCTCAGTGGTTGCGGTACCTTCAAAATTCGACACATGCCCGATGTCCCACTTCGACTACGTATTGGACTGCATACAGGTTTGATAAAAGTTCATTTCGTTTTCTTCATTGTTAAGAAATACGCAACCAGACAGAAAATGCATTTTACTGCAGAGTCTCCACGTTGACTATATTAGCGAAAAACCGGCATCTCTGTGTTGCCCCTGTGTGCTGGCTAACTGTCTGCACACATCCGCTGCCGTTTGCAGCTCACAGGAAGACATTTCCCATCTCCCTTCGACGTCAGGTGTAGAATACAAAGAAGCATTTTTGTGTTTTTCACCTTTCAGCAAGGGGTTAGGCTCTAGTACAGCCAACGCTCTAGCTAACTGAGCTACGAAGCTGCCACCAGAAGTCGTAGGCTCAATCACACTTGGGTCGATTTACCCTCTCAGCCTACTGCAACGTATGGGATCCATCAATTCTGATACAGTAAGTTGACTGTCCAAGCAGGATTACCTGAGCAATCAATCCAGCATCCACCAGGTGACTACCAGGCACAGTTAATTAGTTGGTGGATGGTAGGGTTGGAGGCCTCGTACCTCAGTAGCGTTGTGTGACCTTTATCTTCCCCCTTGTTTACATTGATTCGAATCTCGCCGAAGCAATTGAGTTTTTAACAACTAGGTCAGCTGAATTATTCAAATCTGCCAACCCTCCCCCTAAACTTGTTATGTTTAACTTGTAGTCATCCAATGAATTCTAGATTGATTGCGTAGGGAATCCTACGTAGGCAGTGAGCTTACTGTATGAGAATTGGTGGATCCCATACGTTGTAGTAGGCTGGACGCGTAAGTCGATCCAGGTGTGATTAAACTGAAGTCTTCCGCTGGGGTCCTCGTAGCTTATGTGATACTGTTTCTAGAGATGGAGGAGACACTGGCGTTGAAGACCGTGTCAGCTCTGCGAAGGATTAGAATGATTGCATGACCGCCTAAAAGGACAGAGAACCAGGAACCCCCCACAATACGTGAGGAGTTGCGGGTTACGTTTACGTTTAGGCCTGAGTTTGGGGTTGGGATTAGGGCCAGGCTTATGTTGAGTGTTAAGGTTCAACTTCACGTTAACTGTAGGGTTTAGGTTTCGGGTAGAGATTGTATCTTGCTTTGTTAAGAGTCTGTTATGGGTACCGCCACGGAAACTAAACCCCAGAATAGTGTAATACGATACCTACGGTTATGGGGGTATACGAGTGAAGTATTGCGGATAAATAACATACAAATATAGGAAACAAAACAGGACACGAAAATACTTAAAATTTTCGAAAATTATTGCAAGATCACCTGTTTAAAGTAACTAGGGCGACTTCTGTTGGCGAATGATGTTTTGTTCTCAGGAAATAACTACCAGTCTTGTAAATTTGCCTACAGGAAATTTCCTATCTCATGAACTTTCAACCGAAATTCCGAAGAGTGCGTTCCATTCGAAAAAAAAAGTACTTAAGAAACTTTATACTATCGATTATTGTAAAACTTAATCTCATGATACTTCGGTCATGTCAGGTTGAAATTTAATGAGACAGGGTGGAAATGCTAGTTACCTGAAGGGATTTCTCAATCGAGCCGGCGGGCTGAGCCCCACGACATCTCCGCGCCTAGCCCGTCTCTCGTAACTTGAGCTTTACCTCTCCTGCTTCTGCCTTCTTCCCTGCCCCTCCCCGATTCCGTGTCACGGCTTCAGCACCATCCCCTCCTCTTATGATGTCAGTTTATTGCCCTTCCGGAATAAATTACAACAAGAAAAAAGGCGGTGAAATATGAAAAAGTTACTAAAGGCATAAATTTATTGATTTTTTGTTCAACTGTACACGCAACTACTACTATATTAGTAGAAAAAAAAGTGCTCAACAAGAAATCAGCTCGGGAGGAGGTAATACGTGATGGGTAAATGAAAACAGATAATGTTGATCTAACCTGTGGGTGTGCATGGCGTGATGGAGAGGGAAATTGTCGAGATGAGCACGCTCGGGTTACAGGGAAACCCAGTAAAGTGCAATAAGGACTGCACAGCACGATAGCTCTTCTGGGGGAGAGAGAAGTGAGGTCAGTTCCTTCATCAAATCTTACCCTGAAAGTGAGAAGTGGGTCACGTTGTCCAACGGCTTACGTAGTCCGGACCTTCTCTTCGGTATTGCAGTGTGTTCTGAAAAGTGCAGAAGATGCCCAGTTATCACCCAAAGTAGAACGTCAGCCGTGGGTTCAGAATCCGGACAATCTCCATCAGATATTTTGCAACTGAAACCCCGGCTTCCTCAGGTTCTGGTCTCATCAGCCATTCTGGTACAGGTACAGTTGCCCATATCTCCGATCAATATTATTGGTTTTTATTTACCTCTCGCGTTTGACCCTCCTAGGCCGTTTGCTTATGGAAAGAATTTCACCTATGTAATTATCACACGCGGTTGAATAAAAGGTCACAAACTTTTTTGGTGCCACGAAATTCTATATAGTTCAGCGCTCTTGCGGTGAGGCGGCTTTCAGACCGCTCCCGCCGGTCAATCAATTATTGCAGCATTTTCAGTGATACCGTCCTGGAAGTTTTATGTGCCACTTATTGCTCTCTTTATGTCTGCCAGGGCAATCTAAATTATTTCCACGTTTCTTTTTGACGAAAATAGGTGTTCATGTTAGGACTAGTTCTACCAATAGTCATGACAACATTATGCGACGAATTGTTAAAAAAAATCGATATCAAATTCAGGCAACAATAGTTTATGTAGTGCGACTCATTAATCCCTAGTCCCTGCATTTGTCCTACGTAAACGGTGGTTATAGGATTTTGTGGGTGGCGAATTAGGATAGGCAGTGGAATATACTTTAATAACTGCAATATGCATTTTGTTTTATTGTTTTTTAGGAATTTTAGTGATTTATGTCTGTAGATTTTCCAAATCTGTATTATCGTTTAACGTATCACGAAAAAATCCGATTATCAAATTGCAGGGTTCTTGAAATTCCTGAAAAATGGAAGGGGTTGTCAGGAGGTCGTATATTTTCACTTACTGTTCTGGACTAAGTCTAGTATAGTCCACGGCGCGAAGCGCCGCGCACATCGTCAATTTATATAAGGAACAACTTACTCCCGGCGGCCGCGGGAAGCAAATTCGACTACATTTTTTTCAATTTACACTTACGTTTAAAAATTTCCTTCCCTCCCTATCCTATTTCTCCACCCCTAAAAACCCCATAATGACCATTTCCGTAGGAAAAATTGCAGGGACTAGGAGTATATGAGGTGCAACACGTAAACTACTTTTGCCTAAATTGCAATGTCAAGAAATATGTTTTCTTGAAATTTTAGGCCAATGCGTTGCCGGAGTGGTTGGTATAACCATGCCTCGATACTGTCTATTC